GATGGTCGTGCCATTGCCGCCATCCCAGAGACCATCCCAGGGGTCGCTAGCGCCACGACCTGATCGAAGGGTTTAGGGTTTAGGTTTAGGGTTTAGGGGTTTAGGGTTTAGGGTTTAGGCTTTAGGGTTTAGGGTCGAGGGTATATTAAACAAATTATAACATGGAGCCCCCAAGTTTTGGTAGGGGTATATTGGTATTTATTTAGACACCGATACTAAACCCGAGGGTTTAGGGTTCGGCTGCATCGCGCTTCACGCGGCAGGTAAATCTCGTCACAAGATCTGCCAAGGCACGGTGGAGAGCAGCTCATTCAGCACATACGCCAACCTTCCGGAGCAAGCCAAGACCCAGGCGCAAAGCCATGAAACCATGGAATGCAGCTCCGGGGCAGAGAACACAGCACAACAGAACCGGATAAATCCTACCTCCGGAAGTCAAACGTGGTTAACCCCCCAAGCCATCGGCGGATGGTGAAGTACAAGCCGCAAACGAGCTTTCGTGCGGGTAAACGGCGCCTAGACCTTCGCAGCCCTCTATAGAGGAACCGTCGTAGAATCCATAAACTCTTCTGAACCCTAAACCCTAAACCCTATAAACTCCCATCCCAACCAGCCTCCCCGCGTGGCTGGAACCCTCAACACTAATCCCGAGACCCTACACCAGCCAGAAACCTTATAAATCCTAAACACGAACTAATCCCGAAACCTAAACCCGAACTAAACCCAAAACCCCAAAACCCTAACTAAACCCGAATCCCTAAACCCTACATTGGGCCCAAACTCTAAAGCCTGAGTAAACCCTGAACCATAACTAAACCCTAAACCCTAACTAGACCCTGAACCCTGAACCCTCGCTAAACTCCAACCACATGGGGGTTCCCCCAAAATAGGGGACCCTAATATAGTACCCCAAATAGTAGGATCCTTAATATAAGGACCCCAAAATAAGGTACCCCCTATTTTCGGAAACTCCCACATCCAGCCTTCCACCGGGATGGAAAGCCATGTGTCGAGGCCCAGACCCCGGCGGGAGTGCCAAATGTGATTTCGCCTTCCTTTCGATTCGGCGCGACGGTGGTTTAGGGTTTACGGGTTCAAGGTTTAGGGTTTAGGGTTTAGGGTTTACGGGTTTAAGGTTTTTTGGTGTGGGGTGTGTGGGGTTTAGGCGCTTCTGGGGTGCTTGCACTTTCCATCGTAGTTGTGCTACGCCACAATAGTGGCATGAGGCCCACACTGAACGCAGCTTCGACATCCGAAGCATGAGGGTCAGTACTATCGTCCTCGCAATCATCATCACCATCACCAGCTGCAGCACCAGCAGCCCCCACCGCCACTGCCGCCGCCACACTGAACGAATGGTGAGATGCATTGGGGCAGGGTCCCTTTTGGGGTTCTTTTTACAAGGGTGCCGTACTATATTGGGGACCTAAAAAGGGACCCTGATTTAGAGAACTACCCATTGTCAGCTTTCGTTGACGAGTTGCAGCTTCCCACCTGCGGCATCAAGGCCATAGACGACAACACGGTCCAGGCCCAGATCGGGAACCTTTCTTGCGGCTGTCCGTGAGTAGCGTGAAGCCTAAACCCTAAACCCTAGACCCTAACCCTACACCCTGAACCTTAGGCCCTACACCCTGGGCCCTCGCGGGCGCTTCAGTTCGGCTTCGGGCTTTGAGGCGACGGGCGAAAAAGAGCGAATAAGCGTGTTTAAAGTCTAGCAAGGCGCCAGCATCTCAAGCCGATGCACTAAGCCCGAAACAGCAAAGAAGACAACCCCCCATTTGCTCGGAAACTTACAGCCTTTGGGGTCTATTCTGGCGTAGACAAGGGTTTAGCAGCCTTTGTTGTACTGAGTCCTCTTCACAGAATTCGTGCTACGATCGGAAAGGAACAGTTTCGGACTAGCACTGGATAGTCAAACCCGCACGCCAGGGTCCTGTAATCCACAAAGCATACATTTACATCTCTGCTTGTAGATACACGCATATGCTATGCCTGCAGAACAGATAGATGGATCCCCTACAAAACCTGCATAATGAGTCTACATGCCAGTTAGCTCCCGTGATTTCAGGTCTTTAGAAAACAACGGACCCCCAAAATAGAGCCCTACTTCGAACAGAATCCTTACTACAAGGCCCCTTTAAGCCGGACCCACCCCGGAAGTTTCTGAAAACTCCAAACTTCCTTCTTTGCCGGCGAGACCAAGATGTGCTTGCCCTGCGCATCGAAGAGGGCCATGTGCGGATGGGGCCCCTCCTGCCCTCGGCAGCTTCCCCGAAGACTCAACAGCACTCTGCCGAAGCCGAGACGCCTAATGTCGGTAGGGACCTTCATAATTAGCATAGGGTGTTGGGCTCCTTTGTAGTATTATAGTGCTATAAGGAGCCCCAAATAACAATATTGGTAATTATTCAGGCTTCTATAGTAGACTCCGATGGAATTTCGAAAGACGAGGTGCACCCCAAACCCAACTCAGGGAAGAGTCGAAGGCGAGGGACTTTCAATCACAGCTTCCGCCGAGAGTCGTTCTCGGTTTACGCCGACGCCCAGTCTCTCCTGTGCAAAGTCGCTTCTATGGGGCTTTACGTGTAGGGTCTTGGCTCGGAGTTTCAAGGTTTTGGGTTAGAGTTGAAGGGCTGAGTCTCATGACCGGCATTTGAAGTTCAAGTCTACACATCAAGAACCATCTATCCCTGCTGCCATCCCCAGCTGCTGTGTCAGAGGTGGGTCGTCTGAACTGAACTTGCCCTTCTTCGTGCTTTTCTGGTTTGCGATCTCCCATCCTACTCGGGTTGTATGAACACGGCCACCTGCCGCATCTTAACTGCCCTGGACGTGGTTAGCCTGGTTGCCTGCCATCCGGATGCATCTGTCCATCCGTCGACTAGAACCAAGGGTACTCCTCGCAATCTTGAAAGCAACAACCTGCACAATGCAGCCGAAACGCCAAGGCGAACAAACCCAAGCACCTACAGCAGCTACAACTACGTTGCAGCACTAGCATCCTACACTTACAGCCTTTTGCCCTTGAGCCCCTAATCCCCAAGACCCCCTAAACCCTAAACCCTAAACCCTGAACCCTGAACCCTAAACCCTAAACCCTAAACCCTAAACCGAAAAATTCCCGAGGCTGCCGAGGCGCATGTTCTTGCAGACAGGTTCGTTCCACCAGTCGGCCATCAGACTGAAGCCGGAAGAGCCCCACCTACAGAGCAACAGGGAGTTTAGGGCTGTTCAAGTTTTAGGGTTTAGGATTTAGGGTTTAGGGTTTAGTGTTTTATGAGTTTAGGGCTCAGGATTGAGGGTTTTAGGGGTTTGGGGGTTTAGATTTAGGGTCATGGGGGTTCGGGGTTTTGGCGTTTCATAGGGTCGTTTGGGGCTGTTGGGTCTTGAAGACCTTAGATAGTTGCAACTCGAACCTTTGAGCCTCAAAGCATACCCAGACATTCTGCAACATCGGAATGCATCTAAACATCGCCATCGCAGACACAGGAGCCGATCCCATATAGTTCGCAACGGCGAGGATGCGCTCATTGCCTTGCGCACGAGGTCGATAGCTCAGGACAAAGATATGAAGATGCTTGAGACTAAGCCTTGTTGTTTAATGTAGGGGCCTTAATGATCAAAACAGGGGGTTTTGGGGCCCATTATCCTCTAGTTATCATAAGGAACCCCAAAACAGTATAGGTAATTCTTGAGGCCCTATATTAGGAAGGCTTCTTTCGGATTCGAATCCCCGAAACCCTGAAACCTACTTGGGTAGTTCTCACAAGTCTGTTCGGGCTTCGGGTGTTCAGGGATTCGTGTTTCCGTTGGGAAAACCATGTAAGAACCAGTTTAAACGATCTGTTGAGCGGGGGCTCTAGAAATTATGATCATTTTGATGCTATCATACGCTTAACTACATTAAGGAACCCAAGGAATGGCACATCCATTCGTTTAAACTATATCATTGAGGCTCACTCGTTCGGGAGGATTGTTGTCAGGGAGTCAGGGGTGCTTGCTTGCCGTGGCAAAGCCCTTGAAGCCACGTTGAACACCCTAAACCCTAAAACCCTAAACCCTAAACCCTGAACCCTAAACCCTGAATCAGGGATTGATTGTGGATAACATCTAGTAAACAAGCTGCAAAATCCCGCATGCTACTCGCTACCCCTGAAGAACCAAAACCCAACTTAACACTCTCAACCTTCAACCCTCTATTTAGGGGTTTAGGGTTTAGGGCTTAGGGTTTAGGGTTTAGGGGTTTAGGGTTTAGGGTCAACCCTAAACCCTCAGTCCCAAGGCCGATGACCCCCTGAGACCCAAACTCGGCCCAACTCCCCCTTCAAGCATCAGGCAAGGCACGCGATAAAGAGACCTCACACCACTACTAGTTCATGGTTGGGGTAGTATTAAAAATTTAAATGTATATCCTTATTGGATTTAAGTACCCTTAAAAATGTAAAATGTTACCCAACTATGACAAAGACTAGTTCAGGATCTGAGTTGCTTCTCTAGTGGTTTATCATCATAGGTTTAGGGAATATTCAGAGTTTCCGGGCTTGGGGTTTAGGCTGTACATGTAGAGTTCAGGGGTTTTCGGGTTTAAGGAGTTTTTGGGGTTTAGGGTTTAGTCTTAGCTTTATAGGGATTCAATCTCCGGGCTTCGGGGCCTTTCCGCCTTTCTCGTTTTCCGCGCTTGAACTCTTCGCCTGAGTTCTGGCGCCGTGTGTTTGTGACTTGGAGCCTGCGTGCTGGCTTGCAGGGAAGGAGCCCTAAACCCTAAAGCCGAAGACCCTAAACCCTAAACCCTAAACCCGAAGCCCCAAACCCAAAGCCCCAAACCCCAAACTCCAAACCCGAAGCCCCAAACCCAAAGCCCTAAACCCCAAACCCTAAAGCCTAAGCCCTAAACCCGAAGCCCCAAACCCAAAGCCCTAAACCCCAAACCCTAAAGCCTAAGCCCTAAACCCTAAAGCCTAAGCCCTAAACCCTAAAAGCCAGAAAGCCCTAAAAGCCCAAAACCCTAAAGCCTAAGCCCTAAACCCTAAACGCTACCTCCTCAGGCTCCGAACGCCTGAATTTGCAACCCTGCACCTTAAACTCGCCAACTCCTAAGTGCTCACTATGGGTTTAGGGTTTAGGGTTTAGGGTTTCGAAGGATAAACTCTCTCCTCGAATTTAGGGGTTTAGGGTTTAGGGAAGAATAATCTCCCAAGTTTGGGGTTTAGGGTTTAGGGGTTTAGGGGTAAACTCTCTCCTCCAAGAATAACCTCTCAAGTTTGGGGTTCAGGGTTTGGGGCTGGTGAGTCGCGGGGGGTTCGGGATGTTTGGGCTTCGGGCTTAGGGTCTGGTGAGCTTCCCAAGTGCAAGATCTCAGCGGTTACGAAGAGGGTTGATGGGTAACACCCTGACACTTCCCCCCACTTTTCCCACTTACCAGACAAGTAGGTGCCAGAAAGTTGGCTTTGGTTTTTGGGCTTAGGAGGGTCCAGCGCTTAGGATTTAGGGTTTAGGATTTAGGGTCTACGACTTCGGAGTACCACCATAATTGTACACCGGTTGGGTATAATAGCAGACGGAATCCCAGCACTATTCATCCTTGATCGTGTTCCGTGTTCCAACTTTCTGGGCTTCACTTTTGAGACTCCTTGGTTAAACCTCAGACCATAAAATAAACCCTAAACCCATAAACCCTAAATCCTAAACCCTAAATCCTAAACCCTAAACCCTAAATCCTGCATCCTGAACCGTGAAGACAACTCCCGTATAGACCCTTAGTTGAACCCAGCCCCAGTGAGGCTAAAGCTTTCGCACAGTAAGGTCGTCATGGCACGCTGCATCTTCAATCGAGCGGGTTATAACGGGGATAGCAGTAGTAATTGTTCCGACCTCTTTGTTACTCCTGAAGTCCCTTGTGTTGTAGAGTCACGGGTTGTAAGAAACAGAGCGCTTCCGTGCAGAAGTTTCTGCACTGAAGCATCAGCCGCCGCAAACTCCTAATGTAGGGGTCTTAATAATTAGAGTTGGGTTTGGGTGTGTTTTATACTATGATTGTAATAAGGACCCCCCCCCCCCTAAACCCTA